TATTTTATCAAGCTTGATCCTGTGATGAGAATCAGGTCAGTAAATGTAACTTATTTCTTATGTATATAAGCCAGCCCAGAATTTTCATTTGGTTACCCACAACAATTATGTATTGAAATTGGTTTGTTTATATATAATTTTTTTGTTACTAATCTTACAGTTCATAATTGTTAGATCTCATAAATGAGAAAATTAATTTATGGATGGGATTTTTACGTAGAATCATGTCTTTTATTTTTCAGACAATATATGAATAGACGTGGTGGCTTCAACAGACCTTTGGATTTCATTGCCTGAATATTAACTTGTAGAAAACTTCACAACTAATTCATCATTATCACCTCAATAAAACAGTAGGCCATTGCCTTCATTTGAATACACAGTTTGACCTTTTTTTTTTCTCTCATGTATATATTTCAGTAATATATTCTATAACAAATATTTATTGATAATGTAGCCTGACCCCTCCTCTCTAGTGAATTAGGCATTCATCATCTTCATTACCAAATCACCCAAGTTTAAAAATTAGGATATTTTGGTGGTTTTGTGATGACTGTTTTCAAACACAAATTTTTTCAAAAACTTTTTGGGGTAAATTTTTAATAAAATAGAATATTTCCAAAAAATTTCCATTTTATTTATTTATCTTTTTATTTTTTATTAATATAAAATCTGGTTCTGGGCTGAAAAGAGATTAACTGTCCATTCATCTGAGTACAAGAGCAAACTTTTAACAAAATTTATTCAGCTTATGTGGCATCCATTCATCAAGCCATTATTTTATTTTATTTTTTTTTCCAATTTGGCACAACTGTTGTCTTGTATGTGTCTGTTTCAATTCTGGAATGACCGCATTCATCCTCATCTTAAGGTTCTCTTCTCCATTACAAAACATTCATTGGCATTCTCCTGTCCCAATGCTTGGTTGATTACTAAAAACAATCTCCAATGTTTTTTTTTTTCCTCTTTAGAATAGGGGTTAGTCATGGCTCTCCACAACTCTTGTCATAGCTCTTAATAAAGTTTCTTTTTGCTATCTCTCCTAATCTCTGTTCTGTTAAGCATTTACACAAGCTCATTAGGAAGATGCTTTTCTCATTATCTGCCTGAGAAATTTCAGTTGTCTCTTTCTCATTCTAAATATAAGTGTACTTTCGTTTCCATTTTCCCTAAAACTTTCTCATTAGTTACGTGTTCATTTTATGGTATTATCAACATCCTTCTGTAGAATCACTTTTCTGTTGCTTCAAGTCTCTTTGAGAAAATTGTTCATCATTCACTGCCATAGAGGAGGACTGATATTACATAACAGTTAAGTACTCTTTTCTTTGATTCTAATGAGATTTTTCCTGTCTCTTAACACTTTGCTTAACTTTTGGAAGGTATTTTTGTCACATTTTCCATCCTTTATTAGAACAGTCCCCCCAGACATTTGAACTCGGAAAAATGAAATTCATGAAATGGTTTTCACCTTTGCTTTGAAAACAAAATCATTAACATTAATCAATAGAAGTTAGTGTTTAAAATTGGATTTTTTTATGGAAAGTTTATTTCAAAATAAGCATTAAAATTTCAAATATTTTTGCATCAACATACATATCGCTGTGAAATCCTATTTATGCCAAGTACCACCTTTGCACCATAATGTACGTCTTTATATATGAGCAACTTTTGGCTAAATTTTTAAGTGACTTTCAAGCAAAAAATAAAATTAAACAAGAATTACATTTTATACTGTATTCAATAATTCTACCAGTTTAGTTACATTGAAATGTCTTCTATTTGAGCTTAAAAATTTTAAACAATTTGAGAGCCAATTCTTGTGTCGAGCATTAAGCAACCTGACTACTGGTTGCTTATAACTTTTGGTGGTGTAGAACAGTACTTTGTCTTCAGAAGGACAACTTCTCAATGCACATGTACAAGGAGGGGGAGAGAAGAGTGAGGGATAGAAACTACACATGCACTGGAACAATAAGGCAAACACAATAGATAGAAAAATCTTGCATTTATTTGTGTAAAGAGATTGAGACACTCCTATTTTTAAAATCATGCTGGAGTAAATGCATGGCTGATAAGCTTAACCCCAAGAGCCTGTGGTACTGTCTCTTAGTATCTTTTCTGCCATTTCTGGGCTGGTATGCTTAAATATCATTCTCAGTTGTCTTGTTAGTGTTAATTTATTTATTTTTATTCATTATCAAAGGCCACAACTCTTAATTTAATTTCCTTCTGATTAGAGAGTACTCGGCTCCATCAAACTCTTTAAGTTGTTATATGCCTCTTAATGTTCTCTGACATGAGTACATTTTAGGAAAGATTTGTCTTTCAAAAGTTAATGAAACAAAGAGTTTGGTAGACCAAACTTAGGAATCACAAGCAAGAGAACACAATTTTAATTTCATTAGTAAAGGAGCTGAGATAGTCACATCTAGTTTTGATTACAACTTATCAATCCCAATTATATTTGTTACATACTATTCATAAAAACTGGAAGTTTGGAAAACCGTTTCTAACCTTAGTCTTAAAACCAGATATCAGTTGATTCAAATCTGCTCATTCTAATGAGAGAGAATCAGTTAGCAAAATTCATATTTTCCTGTTGAGATTTTATAAAGTTAGACTTGCATTAAAGCTTTAAGCGTCTTTAAGATTTGTATTAAAAATCTTTCTATCAAAGTTGCAAATTTAAAGAAAAGAAAACTACCATAACACATTCCAAGCAGAGAAGGGCCTGTACAAAGAAGACCATTATTTCTTTAATATGTATATTGGGGGAAAAATATACGAAAAATGTGTAAAAGGTTTCTTGTGATGTGTTTCATCCTTTAGGACTTGATCAGACTAAGTTTATGTTGGTGCAAGTGTACAAACAAAAAAGGGATGCTGGGTAATTTTTTTTTTGTCTGAAAAATCAATATTAGTAACATTTGGTTGCAACTGAGGCACATCCCCAAATGGCAAGTTAACAATTTAAATGGAGATGGCACTGAAAAGGGAACTGTATAATAATAAATAATATTATTGTAATAATTTAAACTATTTATTTTTATTAAAGTTCTTATGAAAGATATATGTCCAAGAACAGATAGTAAAAAGTAAAACATTGCTGAGAGTTATAATGGACAGGAAGTAGTGGAGAGCCATTGTCGCAAATAATTTGGACTCGAAACTGGTACTGAAGAATTATCAAACGAAAAAAATTTCATCGAAATTGGATGAAAACTGGAAATGCATAAACAACATCCGATCACACACACATTTTGAGAATTATAGATAGGCAAATTACACTGGAAGATGTCACTTGCCAAGTTTGTATCATACAAACAGTATGAAGCAGAGCCTCCATTCATCAACTCTACAGTATGTTCTTCAATTACTGCAGGTGATCCTCTTGCCCATAATCCATTTCATCATTACCTCAATTGCAGTCAAGATCATACTCATTGTAAACTGAAGCATATACTATGACTGCATAGTACATGCTTCACTAGGGCAACATGGTTTTGAATTCAGAGTTGTCCATCTAGACTGACTAGCAACCATGGCTAGAGAGGCAAGATATTTAACCCATAGCTGTCAGAAGAGATGAATTTATACCTTTCCCAAATTGTAAATGCCTTCTACATCAATAACTAAATTTCATCCACATAGGCATTGACTGACTGGAGAACATTCTTCAAATATCACAGGTTATGCTTCCTACTCTTGATTCTATAAATCATATTGAACCTTTTTGAATCATTACATTATAGTTTGTCGCCAAATTGTAGAAGCAGACATGATACGAACAAATTTTGTTTAATATTAGAAATATATTTGAAAAAAATAGCTGTAAGCAATGCAATAAAATTCATTTTTAGATAAAAAGCTCCATGAATGCACCTTTGAATTTAGTTCAAATATCAGTTTCTTTTTCAACTAAAATTTTATTCAGTTAGCTACTGGTGGGATTTGAACTTTATATATTTGCAAGATTCAATAAAATCGCTTATTTGAATTAATAATATTTAGTCATCATTATAAAAGAGTAGTAGTAGTTTATTTTTCTAATGATCAGGAGTTAAAAAAAATTTAATTACTAATAATGAACCAAAGCAAAATTATTTCCACACAACTGGTTTCTCGAGTTCTTATGCTAAAAAATAATCAAACAAATTTATAGTCAAGAACAAATCCTGTATAGGTATTATTAAATTAGAATGGACATCTTATTCTAAAATAAAAAAAAAATATTTTAGTGTGTGTGTGTGTGTGTGTATTTAAAGGCAATAAAAACGTGTATTAGGATGAAGAGAAAAATTTGTTGAAAGTAAACTTTAAAATTACCTATATTACTAATTACTCAGTATTTACAAAGCTTAACTGATTGAGTACAGGGATGGAATAAGGAAGTTTTGTTATAACAATCTTACAAACGGGGAGGGTTTTTCTGCCAAGTAAATCATTCAACATTCTGATTTTGGCTCAGTTACCAACCTCTGATGCCAATAGAAAACAAATAACTATTTCAGCCATGATGCATGTCATATTATCCAAAAATGCTATCAAAACCATATTTTCTCTATTCATAAAAATAAATTTCTTTAAATATCACCAAGAAACTTGAACTTGCTACAAGATTCATCTTATATTCTGAATATTAAGTAATTTATATGAATCTCTTAAATGATTTTCAAATTTATAAGTCAGAATAAATTTTAACATTGCTTCATATTCTATATTTTGCCTGCCACTCACCTCTTCTCTAAACAATTAAAAAAGGAAATAGACAAATATGTACAGAACAATAAAGTTTGTGAAATAGTGTTAAGAATTACCCGACTGAGATGCTAAAGTTCTGCTATTTGGCTTTTAATTCCAAAGCAAAGAATATTTTATTTTTAGAAAATTGGCTACAATAGGTTTATTTATGAAAAAAGATTTATTTCCCTCAATTTTAACTTTTTTCAAATTAACATCACAGAAAATGAATCGGCAAAATATCCTATAGAAACTTTTCATAAGTACAACGGATGAATACTTCTGACTGTTAGTTTTTTTCGGCAGGTTGGACAATTGGAGTTGAGGCACTGGTTGGCACATTTTTTACAAAATACATGACCACAAGTTGTAGACATTAATGTTTGTCCTTTGTTTTTTATCTGAAAAAGAAAAGAAAAAAATAGGTTAATCAAGAAATAAGACAATTGTAGAAATATGGAGATATAAAAATTAAATAGGTACATATAGCTGCTGATATATTACAGTGTATCCAACAGATATCATGACTAAGGGAGTGTTTCCTGAAATACATAAATTGATGTTTATAGCTCTTGTTGAAGTTACAGTTGGTTTTATTCCAACAATATCTTTGTATGAGAGGAAATCAAAAACTAATGCAATCTGTTTTATTATATAAGAAATAAGGAACACAATCAAACATATCGTACAAGATACAGCTATACATTATAGGTTCACATCCATACCTCTCAACCTAGTGACCACCTAACCTAGCACCCTCAGACTTCTATCTCTTTGGTCCAATGAAAAAGGTATTGAGTGGCAAACATTCTGGTGGTGGTGAAAACTTGTAAGTAATTGGCTACATCAGCAGCCAGCTAAGTTTTACAAAGTTGAGATACAAGGTCTTGTTTGTAGCGGGAACACACCCATTGAAAGAGGTACTGACTATGTTGAGAAGTAGGAATGTGAACCTGTGACGTATAGTTGTGTTTGATTGTGTTCCTTATTTCTTATATAATAAAACAAATTGCATTACTTTTTGATTCACCCCTGTAAATCATACATCTTAAATGTTGGCAAAAACAAAAAAATTTAAAAACTCTAAAAGTGAATCAGAATTTCTTGAAAAAGGCCAATATTTTGTTTCTTAAGGAGGTATTCAGGATAAAGTTAAATTACTAAAAAAATTTTTTTTAATCCACTAATTTAAACATTAGCTGACTGAAGACAAAATAAAAAAAAGAAATGAAGGTGAGATTTTTGCAATAAATTTGCTAAAGCAAGCAAAGAAAATGAATTAAATCAGAAATAAAACACCTTCAAAGTAATTCAACTTTTCCAAGATTCCAATTAAAATCCTACTCTTTAATTTAAACCACTTGAATTTAATTGATTTTAAAACTTAAACAAGAACAATAATAAAGTGACATTTTAAAATAAGCACTGTCTTACCTCTCTATATGTTTCTAAACATAAAGGACACAATTGGTTGTCAATAGAAGAACCATCTCTGTAATTTATTCTAAAATTACAAGCAAAATAATTAGTCAAAACATTTAGTATGAATGTCACAAGTAAATAATGATAAAATCTAATAACTTCAGATTTTGTAGGTCACAAATGTTACAAACATTAGACTGCTTATAAAAGACCAATTTATTTTGGTATGAACAAGAATTTTCATATTCTAAGAAAATTATGTTGCAACAAGACTTATTAATTTATTATTAAAATCCTGAACTTGTCTCACTGAACTAAGTCTTAAAAGTACCTTTTTTTTTATGTCATTTTAAAAAGAAAAATCATTCTAAGTAAATAGCTCTGAGTGCCCTTTACAATCTTCCAGGGAATCAATATTTTTTTTTAAACTAAGAGAATTTTGTAAAGACCAAATAACTGGTAATCTTATGATGAAAAATTTGGTGAATAAGGTACACAGATTAAAAAAAAAAGTCCCCAGCCAAGTTGTAACAATTCTTACCCAGAAAGATTTGCAAACCACTTTTGACACATTCAATCATTCACAACACCTTTTCTATAAACTACACTATTTTTTTTATTGCTTTTTAGTTGCATTTTTAATGCATTTAAAATAAAAAGCCTAATAAACAAAAAATTAGGCTTATTTTCTTTCACCTTCAATGTTAGAATCAATGAACAAATATGCCAATTTTGATCAAATCTTTACAAACAGGCATGGTTTTATAATACATCAAAAGCATGCATTTTGAGTGAAAAACTAAACACTCTTAATGCCATTCAAAAACAAAAAAAAGTGACTTTTGGATTAAATGGGAAGATATCTTTCACCACTTTGAATCATAATGAAGAAATAAATTTGAGGTACATGAATTTCAACATGTTAGATTATCTAGAAATTTACCTGGTAGCAAAAAGGATTAATTCAGTTAAGAATACAAAAAATAATTTTGTTAACTTGGCACTTGTAACAAATTTTTCTGAACAATCTTTTGGCTATTGGATTATGAAATGGAGCATTTGGATGAAGACAGCATAATTTTAAGAGATACGAGATGCTGACATGTGTTTTACTATCAAAACATATTCTAACAATACAGTTCTGCATATTAAAAATGATGTTCAGATGTGTTATGAATTCTACCATAAAGCAAAAGACTCACAAAAACTGACAATGACAAAATACACTGGAATACAGAGATTGGCAACATTCAGACACAAAGCATTTATCATTGTCTAGGCTGAAGTAAAACAAAATCAATTAGACTGTCTTGTTCTTCATACTGAACTCTTTCATATGATATTTTTCTTTGTTTTCATTGTAAGCTCACAACTGATAAAAAGCAGGAAAATTTAAAACAAATTAATGAAAATTTTCACAAACTGATCAGATTTCAAGGCCAGCTCAAATCTTCTCCCTTCTCTGGAATTTATTCTTCATGATCAGATGAAATATCATTTTCTGCTTTACTTATGTTCATTCTCCAAAGTGAAAATGATTAAAGGTTTTAAATTCCGATTTACTCACGTTGAAGCAGACTGTTCAGAACTGGGTTGTTGAAAATTCTCTTCATTAGATGCAAACTGAAAAAACAAATTCAATTCCTTGTTCTACTGGATAACTTTGAAGAGAGAGAGTGAGAAAAAGAAAAGTGTAAGTCAGAGCGAAAAGAAAAAGCCAAAGAGAGAGAAAGAAAAAAAGAAAAAGGCCAGAAACAGAGCGAGAGAAGAAAAAAAACAGAAAGAGAGCGAGAGAAAAAAAAGAAAAAAAAAACAAAGAGAAAGAGAAAACAAAAAACCAGAGAGGGAGAGAGAGAGAAAAAGATAAAGCCACAGAGAGAGAGAGAAAAAAAAAAAAGAGTCAGAGAAAAAAAAAAAAAAGCCAGAGAGAGAGAGAGAGAGAGAGAAAAAAGAAAAAAAGTCAGAGAAAAAAGAAAAAAAGCCAGAGAGAGAGAAGAAAACGCTAGAGAGAGAAGAAAACACTAGAGAGAGAGAGCGAGTGAGAGAAAAAAGAAAAAGCCAGAGCGAGTGAAAGAGAGAGAGGGAGAGAGTGATGGGGAAAACGAAAAAGCCAGAGAGAGAGAGAGAAAGAAAACAAAAAACCAGAGAGAGAGAGAGAAAAAGATAAAGAGAGAAAGAAAAAAGAAAAAAAGCCAGAGAGAGAGAAAAAGAAAAAAAAAAAAAAAGCCAGAGAGAGAGAGAAAAAAAGAAAAAAAGCCAGAGAGAGAGAGAGAGAAAAAAAAAGAAAAAAAGCCAGAGAGAGAGAGAGAGAAAAAAAAAGAAAAAAAGCCAGAGAGAGAGAGAGAGAAAAAAAAAAAAAAAAGCCAGAGCGAGTGAAAGAGAGAGAGGAGAGAGAGAGGGAGAGAGGATGGGGAAAAACGAAAAGCCAGAGAGAGAGAGAGAGAGAAAGAAAAGAAAAAGCCAGAGAGAGAGAGAAAGAAAAGAAAAAGCCAGAGAGAGAGAGAAAGAAAAAAAAGCCAGAGAGAGAGAAAAGAAAAAGAAAAGCCAGAGAGAGAGAAAAAAAAAAAGCCAGAGAGAAAAAAGAAAGAAAAGAGAGAGAGAGAGAAAAAAAGAAAAAAAACAAAGAAAGAGAAAACAAAAAACCAGAGAGGGAGAGAGAGAGAGAGAGAAAACGAAAAAAAGCCAGAGAGAGAGAGAGAGAAAACGAAAAAGCCAGAGAGAGAAAACGAAAAAGCCAGAGAGAGAAAACGAAAAAGCCAGAGAGAGAAAACGAAAAAGCCAGAGAAAGTGAGAGAGAAAGAGAGAGAGGGAGTGAGAGAGAAAGAGAGAGAAAAGAAAAAGCCAGAGAGAACTCAACTCTTTATTTAACCTACAGTGGTAGAGTGTTCTTGTACCACTACCCTTGACTAAGGATATCTCATCTTGTTCTTATTTAGTACTGCTTAGATATTGCTAGCCCTGTTTCCATTGAGTCTAAGTCTGCACTGCTTGACCCAGGCATTGAACTCATAATTGCTATATCACCAAATTCACAAACCAATGCTTTAATCCATGGGTCAATAATCTAATGTAGACACCTCCAGTGAATTTTTGATACCTAAGGTTTAAAATGAATTTTTAAAACCGAAAAAGCATTCTTGAAGCTTTCATTTTAGCTTTAATCGAAAGCTAAATGATTAAATTTACTATTTCCAGTCAGCGAAATACTCTGGTATATTTCGCATAGAAATTATATTGATTGAAATCTCATTTTTTTCGGTCACTTTTACAAACTCGGCTATTTTTGACACATTTGTAAACAAAAGTTAATTCTCAGTTTTAAAAATCTTCCAAAAATAAAATATACTTTTCTGAAACTTTATTTGAGGAATAATTAATCTGATTTGAAAAAAATATTTATTTTAAGTTTAAAATAACAGAGAAATGGATTTTTAAAACAAACAGTAGCAGTGATTATGTACTTATCACTATTGCTGAGACTTTATCTATTAAAACATAATTTAAGAAAATGACAGGTGAGAGCTTTTTTTATATAATTTTTAAGTACTCAGTAATCTTAAAAATGTTGGAAAATATTCTCCATAATCTAATTTTAGGAATGTTTAATTTAAATGTACTATAGTTATCACTCCTACTTTCTGATTATGTTATGTATGGTTGACCATACTTTCAAACAGGGACAAGTTACATAATACTTTATATACATTAAAAATAAAAAAAAAATTTAAAAAAAATTAAAAAAATTGAAATTTGTAAAAAATATCGGGTGTAAACAACTTTTATTGACCTTTCCAATTTTTGATTTGTAAATATAGTTTTCACTTAATAACAATGTCACCTAACCAGATTGAAGTAATGCAGAATTTTAAGATTTATAATATTATAAATTATAATGATTAAAATTAAAAAAATAAAAACAATTCTTGTAAAAATTTATTATTCATCAAAAAATTTTTTCTTAAAGACAAGTGTCCTTAAATTTTATTTATAGAAGCAATTAAAAGCTTTTCTAATAATGTCATAGTTTTATTGTATTTTTTATTTTAAGATTCAAAGCAGATTTTCAGGAAATGAGTAGTAGTTTGAAAAAAAAAAAAAGTTCTCTTTTTAACTACTAAAACAATTTAATTTCTCAAAATTTCAGGAAATAAAGTAAGTGGGGATAACATATGTAAAAACAAAAAATTCTTTTTGACCCAGGATTTAAAAAAAAAATAAAAAATAAAAATAATACGTCCTGAAAGTTTTATTAAAATCTGACAATTATTTGACTTTTGCAAGAAAAAAAGTGCAAAAACACTAATTATAAAATAACGTCGACTGTTGGCATAAAAAAAATTTTTTCACCAAAATTTTGAACATGCTCGAAAGGTTTAAAAAATGAAATAAAATAATAAAAATTACTTTGATCTTTCCTCTTAATAATAAACATTCTGACAATAACACATTGTTTTTATTAAGTTTGGGGCTTTTTTTTTTCATCATGCTATGCTGTTTTTCAGTGAGCAAGTGGAGATACCTAATCTAGTGGATAAAATATGGTGTTCAATTTGACATTCACTGAAGGTTATTTGGACTCACAAACACCTGAAGCCCTGGAAGGTATAACAGGTGAAATGCAATAAAAACAAAGAGGAAGACACATTAGCTTGGTTGTAAATAATGTAAATTATTTTTTAAAATATGAAATGTTTCTATCAATATGGTGAAAATTGATGATTAAATACCAAATTTAGCAATTTTTTACCTAAAGTTTGATTTACCAAGTTTCAGCACTCAATCGTTATTTTGTGTATGGAAAATTAGAAAGAAAGTGATTGTCAGTTGTCAGAAAGTAAGGTAAGCAGTATTGATAGACTATGCCTAATTTTAATGTTGCCTAATAAAGAACACTTATACTTAACATCAGAAAGAGAGTTGAAATTTCTAGGGCACATAATAAAGAAATAGGGCATGGAAAATTTGATACTCACAGAACAGATTGAAGGCAAGAGGGAGAGAAGAAAACAATACATAATGTCCCTAGTGAGCTTGAGTAAATGGATGGCAGAAAAGGGCTTACAAGAGATAATAAAAAGACAAAATTTATTAAGAACAAAGGACAGAAAATTGTGGAAAGCCATGATCCTTAATGTCCTGAAGGAACATGGCACACAGAAGAAATATTATATTAACATATAAACTTTCTTTGAGATAAAAGAGATTATAGAACCAGCTAAGATTTATATATTACTAGCAGTAGAGCCCGGCGTTGCCCGGGGATATAACAGTAAGAGATAGGTCAAGTATCGACCATCATAAAGACTGAAAAATAAAATTGACAAAGATTATTGTTTAAGGTTGACGGACACGCATGTCTTAATTAGTTTGTTTTTTTTTTTTTTTACGAATTGGTCAAACCCAAATTCAAACAAAAACATTGTTTTCAATCGTTATGAGTCTATCGATTGGTGAATAGAATTTTATTATAAACAATTGTCTTGTAAATGGAATTTTTAAAGCATTCTGAATATATAAATAAAGAAAAAAGTGTGCAAGACAATAAGAAATACTACCTGATCACCCCCCACCCCCCAGTGGATGTTTGTTTTATCGGCTGAAAAATGTAAGAAATCCGATCCCATATATAAAGGAACACACACACACAAACAACCTGGGTTTTTTTAACCTAAGTCACTCCACGGAATCGCTAAAACATATAGCATAGTCTGATGAAAAAAGACGCCAAAGTTTATGAAAACAAAATTTTATCGTCAAAATGCTTGTTTTTTATGAAGAGGATAGACTAAATTTTTTTAATTATTTTTAAAATTTTTCCATCTTTTTAGAATATTCTAAATTTTGATTTAAAAACCTTGTTTCTCTTTGTCACAACAAGGGTAGTAAATAACAGATAATTTTTAGCGTGTTTTTTTTTGTATTTACACACATTAATTTGGAAAATCTTGCAAAAATAAAAATAATTGTCAGATGTTAATGAAACTTTCAGAAACTATTCACAGATGATCAAAATTATTATAAATATGTTGTTTTTTTTTATTAAAGTCAGGGCAGAAATATTTTTTTATATTTATTAACACCCCCATAACTAATTTTATGAAAAACTCTAGAAATTCGAGACCATCGGTTTTAGTGATTACAATAGTTAAAAGCACAAGGCTTTGAAGAATGCAAATCATGTTTTTTTTTTGTTTTTTTTGGCCAACATCTGAAAATCAGCTGTGAATTGTAACATACAAAACTCAATAAAACAAATATATTATTTAGTTTCAAATGCTTTTATTTGTTTGAATTTGTTTTTATGAATATGGACAATATTTTCTGAAAGCAAAAATTTTTCAATGAAAATTGAATTTTAATACAATTATTTCTTATTTCTTTAATTTTAAAAAAGATTTTTTTAAAATTTTAAATTGAATTTTAAAAATATTTTAACATTAGTTAAAAGCAACATCAACCTTTCAAAATGTCCGTGTGAGATTGTCATTGTCTAGCGCTTTGAAAATTGTATAATTTGGACCAATCAGATTAGCCATGGTAATTAAGAAATGTAATTTTTGTGTTTATAGTCGGACAGTAATTATCAAGTACGGAAGACCAACCAGAATACAATTTAGTTGCATTATTTGAGTTCAGCATTGTTCTCCGCTGTTAAGCCCCTTACTTTTGCGAAACAGGCATGGAGAAGTTAATTTGAGTTTTCAATTTCAACTGAGAAGGGTACCTAGAAGTAACAGTATCATCTTATGAAATATAATTACTGCTAAACTTTAATTTATATGATCTTATTTTTATATTAATCTCAGTTATGACATTTTTCCATAAATGAAATATCAAAATTAATAATAAAATGAATGGAAATACAAATAACACAGTAAAATGTAATAAATGTACATAAAATTATAGTATTTTATGTACACTTCTGATAAAATTTCATAAGAAAGGTACCTAAATTAATTAGATACCTTTTTTTTTATGAAATTTAATCTCACTATTAACAGTCTTATCTTTTAATTTCTTTATATTTTCCATAAAGCATCGTAAACATAAAAATGAAAGCTAAGTACAAAAAAAAAAAAAATTAAAAATTAGAGCGCTGAAAGTTTTCCTTAAAAGTAACGAGGTAAATAATTTGTTCACTTAAATAATTTCACTTCCTTCCATCCGTAGAAAGAATTATCCTCCCGTAAGTTATCTAAACATCATGAATGTGCCTTTTTCGTCAATCGTCAAGCGACGCGAAAGGTTATGACCTGCTTTGTTTTATTTTCAAATTACATTTTTTCGGTATGAGAAGCTAAGTTAAGCTTGGTTCAAAATATTTTAAATAAACAGTATTATTTCTGTTTTTATTAAAATCAGTTTTGAAAAATGATAATTGATTTTTAAAAGAATATCAAAGTCAGATTTTAATCTTTTTTATCAAATCGAAAAAAATGATTGAAAATGATTGATTATCTGTCCTTTTTTTTGACCCCCCAAAAAAAAAAAAAACTATTTTTAACGAAAATTTCAGACGTGCTAGGAACGATTAAAAAATGTAAAAAAATACCCCCAAAATACTTTGATCTTTCCTCTTTAATAATATGAATATTAGACGATAAAATTTTGTTTTCGTCAAGTTCGGCTTTTTTTTCATCATGCTATGCACTTTTTTTACATTTTCGTGGGTGAGTTGTCCCCCTTTCATTCTCATGATGTGTCTTAATCGTGTTTTCACATTGATTTTGTTAAAAAACAATTTTGTTTTTCCCATTTTCGGCACCGTTAGAACCATCACAAGGTAATTTTATGTAGTTCTGTGAAGTTTTGTTGAAATCGGCTAAAAAAATGTAGGAAATTCGATCCAATATATAAACGTTACAGACACACACACACACACAATCTGCGTTTTATAATAAGTAAGATCTACTTTGCATTCATATTTTCATTTGTCTTTGTTTGAATTACACTCCTAACCAACAGGAAGATAAAAATACAAAGTTATTTTTTTTCTTCACCTCACCTCACTATTTGCAGATTGTTCGGACGTTCTCCAATTTCTTTCAGATTCTAAGGAGATAAAAGAAAAATATTTTGAAGGACTTTTTCAAAAGGAAGCAAAAATTTTTTAAAATTTCAATTTTGTTTTTTTTTTTTTTTTCCACCCTTTTAGATAAAGCTGACTTAAAATTTCAGGCTTAATAAATTCAGTCTTGTTATTTACAAATTTTCCTTTTTTTTATTTTAACATTCATTTAATATAAAAATGAAATATTCTCACCATTTATACTTGCATTTTCCAAGTTCTAAAAGAAAAAGAATTGTTAAATTAATTTTTTAAACAAGTCAAATATTTATTTAAAAAAAAAAAAAAAAAAAAAGAAAGTGTAGCAAAATGTAAAAGAATAAAAGAAAAAGATTTTCAATGTTGAGACACTGAACACTTAAGATATATCATATACTTTTATTATTGAATACATTTGTCAGACTGTCATTTTCATTATTTTTTTTTATTACATATTCTCTAGTTTTCCTCAAGTATTTAGTGTGAGAAATGCAAACTGAGGAAACCCCCAAGAGCAATGCTGAGTAACAACTTAAATGAGGGTCATAAAGCCTTCTTTTTATTAATTGCTTAAAGATCATAACAAAATGTAATAGGATTAAGTTCAAACAGTAATAGCTCTGATCTAAGCGAAGGCTCTGATTGGTTGTTTGGTGGAAGGTAAACAGGATATGCAAGGTTTGTTTAGTGTGTTCATTGGCCAGAGATAAATTAGCCAGAAGCTATAATGAACAGGAAAGGGAAATGACAAAACAAAAAAGTAAAAACTATTTGAGCAGCAACCCCAGAATCAGGATTAGTCAAATATGTCAATTAGGATCCATGAAAGGTTGCTGTATTTATTGAGCCATCAGTGGTTTTACCGCTAGTCACCTAAGCCAGCAAATGGAACCATAAACAGCAGAAGAGTTAAGAAAATACATGGTGTATGAATATGATATTCATCCAAGGCCTCAGTTTTTCACCTATCTGTTTTTGTACACTTGTCAGCAGTCTTGTATTTTAAACAACTTGCTTATTTGACAAAGAAATAATGGCAATCTTTAACATTCGTGCCCCCCTCCCAAAAAAAACTGTTAAAAAGATGATTTTTCCCTTGACACCACTATTATTTTAACTACCTTCACTCCTTGACAATGTTTTTTGTTTTTTTTTTAATAAAAAAAAAAAAAAACAACAACAATGATTAGAATTGTAATGAAGCCAAACATATGAAAGTGAATTTATACATTTTCTTTGTTCTTGAGAATTGACAACAAAAATAACAAACACTACTTATTAGATTGTTTATTGGAGTGATTGGCAAAACTTTGGTTAATTGCCAATTGACTTGTACTTTTATAGTGGGTCCACATATTTTAATAATCTAGTAAATCTCTATAAATTTATGAATAAAAAATTGTTTTCATATTTATTTCTTTATAAATTGTTAACAATAAATATTGCATTACATTAGTTTTAATACAATTGTATTAATTTTTAGAATGTTGTAAATATAAAATTGTTCTTGTAAATAAACGATCTAATAAATGAAGTGTTTAATATTTTTGTTGTAAATTCTAAAGAACAACAAAAATGCATAAATTCACTTTCATCACGTGTTTAAGTATTATTACAATTCTAATCATTACTTTTTAAAACAATAAACATAGCCAAGGAGTGAAGGTAGTTAAAATAATAACAGTCTCAAGGAAAAAAAAAAAAAAGCTCTTTTGATACCCCTTTTTTGTATGCGCAAAGTTTAAAGGGTGTTGAAATAATAATCAAATAATTTTTCTTTTTTATACACATTTGCTGAGGATTGAGTCAGTTTCCACCATGTGAGTGTTTCTCATTTGATGACAGTTTTGTTTCAGACATAAATTTTGCAGTGTGTGGTGCTAGTGAAAATTCAATAAATCTGAACAAAAACTTTTGCCTCTACCCTTTTTGCACCTGTGTGTAAAAAGCTGGCAAGAGATTATTTCAAAGGGGACAGTGAAAAACTATATTAAAGTTAGCAATTTTTTCTGTAGTCAAATCCCTCAGTATTTTGGGAAGTATATTATATTCTTTCGCCCTTAACCCTGGATGGGTGTTTTAATCTGGCAGAGCCCATCCCTCTTCAAGTTAGATCACAGCCAATGTCCTCCATTTAGGTGGTTCACGTTGGTCACAAAAAGACATGTCTGTTGTAGTTCATTTGAGGAATCATTCCACCCTGGCCAGCAACCTGTGTTGAGGAGGTCCTTTGTCCAGTGGTGCCATGTTAACACCACCCCCTCACATAAGTTTAGCCTGCCAGCTGAAGCAGTTTACTGGGGTATAGCAACATGGAGCCATGATATGAGAGATATAGGAGATGGCTGAGGACCAGTGATGCCTGTCCAATCAGAGCCCTCATATGTGTAACAAACAAAATTAAAAAAAAAAAAAAAAAAAAAAAAAAAAAATTAATTTTTGGACAGGCTTGACATTAAGCTAATTTTTAATATGCATCTAAAAACTACTTACACTAATAAAAGGACTTGCTGATCTAGATATCCGAGGAGTCCTTGAATTATTTGATCTTCTTCTTTGCCTTGGATATCTGTGCCTTGCTGAAAACCAGAAAATGAAAAACTTTCATTAAATACAAAAATTTAAAGATTCACACCTTCATAGTAGAAGCAATTAAAAAATTGCCTGTAAAAAAAAGTACTTCTGCTTATCTATTGATACAGGATTCAAGAAAGATAAAGTTTTACCCAAATTTATCCTTCTATTATCTACCCTACATTTTTTTTTTTTTTTAATGAATTTCAAAACACTTGATCCATCCAAATAAAATTATCCAACGACCATGCAGATCCTCAGAGTACAATGTTAGGTTTTCCTTTTAATCAATGTTATACAAAAAAATTTTTTTGATTTCTTTCAAAGTCAACATTGAACTTTCTGTTACAATAGACAAAGAGAAAAACTAGTCCAACAAAAAGAAAAAAAAAATAAATGCAGAAACATAGACCAGATTATTATCACACTCAACTACTAACATAAATAAAAATTTTATTTCAACAGAACATACTTCATTACATCGTTACTCATGTAATTTTCCTGTTTATTTTGTTATATAAAATTAATTATAAAATTAAATTCTTTATATTAAAAAAAAAACTGCTTAAAAAAGAAATATATATAAAGAAAAATAATAAGTTTATTATTATTAACAAACAAAATGATTGCTGCAATTCTTCCAATATTTTACAACAGTTAAAGAGGTTTACTTATGAAAAGAAAAAGAAAACAGTGTTTAAGAATAATTCAGACGTTTTTTCTTTTTCAAGTTATGTTTAAAAATTACATACAAGTATGAAAAATATTTTTAAACTGTTAAATGTCCTAGCCATAAAAAATTACTCCTATATCTTCACTGTATTGTCAGGTTATTTTTATATAATTGGGCTCAGTACTCCCAGATAAAACAAGAACAAATAAACACTTGTGTTCTCTCTTTTTCTTATTTGGATAATGAATGATACATATGAAAATTGTTGACAAGAATTATGTACATACAATATCATCCCATTATAATGTAATTATCAAGATCTAGAAAGTGCTATCACAAAAAAAAACAAATTCATTTGTATTCAGTGTTTGCAGTTAATATTCAAATTCATCTAACTTTATGTTAACACCTGATTACATTATAAGAATGTACATTTACCAAAAAAACTTTGAAGTCAGAGAAAACAACAAAAAATTGATATTTAAAAGTTAAGTAATCTTTATATATATATATATATATATATATATATATATATATATATATATATATATATATATATATATATACACACACACACAACGTATGACACTATTATGTAATCACTGACCCATTGCTTTATATCCAAATTCACATAAAACTATGAGTTGGATTACACTTGCACAATACTATTAGTACAATTAAGAATTTAATAGTATGATCAATATAGTATCTAGAAAGATAACATACGTAGACATTTAAACTAATGGATATAACCATATGCAGAATAGAATATGTTGATGAAAATAAGATTTAGTGGATTACAAAAAAGTCTTCACAGTGAGCTTTCAAAATGGAATCCCACTACCAATGCTTTTACATTTGGTTTGTTAATCATTCACCTTTTTTTTTCATCTCTTTAAAAACAATGCTGTTAGCTTTTTTTTAGTACTTTTCTGCTGCCCTAAAAAAGAAAATGATTCCCAATATATGCCATATTTAGTGGCATGGTAAGATAGCATTCATTCTTTTCATTCAAAAGCCTGAAAAGAGTAAAGTTAGATAATAAAAGTTATATTTTAAGTTTTTTTTAGCTCTCCTATTAAATATTATACCTCATGGTAACTGAATGTATCTCTTCTATATAATCAGATATAGAAAATTATTTCTCTTTGGCCATTAATACAAATTTCTCCTTGGAAATTTAGTCCCTCATACCTGGGACCCCCCCCCCAAATAGAAGACTGATAGAGACTAACAGTGGAGAAAATAGATTTTAGTAACAACATACAATTAACCATAATTGGTAAAAACAAGTAAGTTTACATGTAATTGGCCCTGATCTGGCATCTCGTCTGCAGTCGCTCTCTCACAGACGTGTCATCGCCTCCCTCTGTCTTTTTTACAAATACTTTTGTGGTAACTGCTGCAATAAGCTGCTTTCGCTGGTTCCCAAACTTCATAAATTTAAACGTTCTACTAGGCTGGCATCTCACTATCACCCTCTCACTGTTAAATAGCTTCATGTTTCGCACTTCTCGCCTGTGGAACTCCCTCCCCTTTTCCTGTTTCCCTGATAGCTATAATCTCCATCTATTCAAATGTAATGTCAATCGACATCTCCAGATGCCTTGATCTATCATCCCCTATCCTTCTCTTCATCCTTTCCTCTATCACTCCTATTTGCTCTTGTGTGCTAGTGGCTTCCCGCCTTGCTTGGGGTAAAAACACCTTAAAAAAATTCAAGACTAGAGGCTTAACTGGATACAGGATGGAGGTTAAGAAATAACAAAATAGATTTCAGTCACTGAATTTGTTGAATATTGTTGTCATATCTAGTCATGTATGCTAGCTATATATCAAACAATTCTGAACAATTTGTTCAACACCCACAGAGTCCACCTGTGATTTATACTACAACTATGCTCAGTGAACTAGAGTTACAGTTTCTGGGGGAAAGTGCATCTTCTGGTGTGAATCACGTTCCCTCTGCCTCTGGGATGGCTTCCCCTCTGCCTTTTTTATAAATATTTTCATGGCAATTGTTCTGACGAGCTCACCTCCTTGTGACCTTGATTGCATGAATTTGAACATGCTACTAGATTGGTAACTAGGTCTCACCATTTGTCAAAATAGACAGATTAACCACACATTATATTCTAATAGTTTCTACTCTCACACTTTTTGCCTGTGGAACTCTTCTGGTCTATTGCTTCCCTGCCACATACAATCTTCAAAAATTTAAAAGCAATGTCAATCACCATCTTCTGTCTTCCTTAAACCTTTTCTTTTATTGTCCTTTTCCTCATTTCCTCTCATTAAATTTTTCTAATTCTCTTTCACTCTCAGTAACCCCTGGCATCTTAGGGTGCTTGGAGGGAAATGACTAAAGAAAAAAAATCTTGTTATTAACTTACTTTGATGTCTCCTAGGACTATCTATAACCTGCAAAACAAATTTTGACATAAATCAGAAAATTGCAATTTCAAACATTAATGTGATTCTCAAAACAACTTTATACATTATTTTCTAACAAAATAATAGATCATTTTAGTTTAATGATTAGAAATATTGTCAGATTTGGTATAAGAAATTTAAGCTGCTTTAGTGTGCATTGTCTGCATTTCAGAGAAAAAGCTGCTTTGGGCTCTTGCTTAATTTTTGTATTTCGAAATATTTTTAGTAAATTTCAATTTGTGAGAAAACAGCTGTCTGTATTTCATCCAAAAATCAATAAAAGGGTTTCCCTCTAAATTCCAAGAAGAGTATTTGGAGTCTACCTGCAGGTTATTTGGAGGGGGGGCTTGGATTTAAATTTTGGAGTTGACAAACAGTTGCTGCAGGAACCCAGGTTGCCCTGGTCCAAAAAGAAATGCAGAAGAAAATTTGACAAGAATTGAAAGGAACATCAAAATCCCTCACACATCAAGGAAATGTTTTCAGCTAGTAGGCTTGTTCTATTCTATGCTGTTACCACAAACATTGCTTCAAAAATTGTATCAATTCTTTGAAGACTATTCAGAGAAATATTTTCTTCTTTCTTCATTTTATGCAGTTTTCTTTTCTGAGGATTTTATGCAGCATTATAATTTTTATTGTAAAAAGGTATATTTCATTTTCATTGATAATTTATATACATGTTATTGGCCATCATTTGGCACACAATGCACTTAATTTGTGCAATTCATTAATTTTTTGTGTGTTAATAAATTTATTGTCTGTTTTTTTAAACTTGGCTCATGGTGTCTGTCTTTGTTATGTGCTCATATAAATTAAATATTACCTTAAACATAGAACTATTTTTGTTTGAACTATTTTTTTTAGTAGAGTTTTCTTATCAAATAAAAAATCCTATAATGGAACAACTGTGCACACCCAATTAAGCAAGCTTTATAAAAATATGAATGAGAAAACATTTGTTAGAGGTTTTCTTTCAATGGTACTTACAATAATAGAGAGATCACTAACTGTAGTTAGATCAACAACTTCATCCGTTTCACTTGTTAGATCTAATGTTCCATCTGAAAAATTACAACAAAAAATTAACACAAGTGATATAAATTAAAAAATTTAATTTTCAATCCAGAAGAACTTGGAAAGACAAGAGAAAAACCTATCCAAGAAGAAATGCTTGTAAAGTGGATATCTCTCTAAAAAGAATGCTGAGAATAATTTCTCATTTCAATGGCATGAGTATAAGACAGAAGTGAAGAGGAAAAAGAATTTGTGAGATAATCAGTTGCAGACATTTGCTCAGGCACATTTGTTTGTTCAACACCCACAGAGTTCACTTGTGTTTTATACTACAATTATGCTGAGTAAACCAGAGTTACAGTTTTTGAGGGAAAGTGCATCTTCTGATGTGATGAACAATGCCAGTAGGCTCAAAACCTTGGTTACAATGCTTGACAGATATATAGATAGATATATACATACATACATACATACATGTTGATTGCCCAATCAATGACTTTGAAGGTGGCTCTTCACACCAGCAGCTGATTTGCAAGGCCTATAGCACAGATGACAGATGTGCTCCAGAGTCTTCACAGGGTTAAGCAGATGTTGCTATGGTAGGTCATCCTTGTGCACCACCATATGCCTCTTCAATCCAGATGTCGATTCACATACTTCCCTGCAGATAACACGTGCAGTACCACCAGATCACATACACAATTATTTGAGGTGTATTTCCAATTAAATGCAGGTTATCATCAATTTTTGAATACAATGCTCAATATCCTGTGAACAGAGCCACATATTAAAAAAAAAAATTATTCAAAATGTAATATTCATTATATATATATATATATATATATATATATATATATATATATATATATGTATGTGTGTGTGTGTGTGTGTGTGTGTGTGTGTGCATGTGCGTGTGTGTGTGTGTCACACATTATGAAATGGACAAAGTCCGACAATTATTTTTTAAGACATTTTTTTATGTTTATATGTTCTTTTTATAGATACAAATATTTAAGTAAATGTTCTGTTTTATAATAAACAGTATTAACAACATTTACTGGTCTGGATGTCCAAGAAATTTTCATAAAAAATATGCGTCCTCTGACAGGAATCGAACCTGTATCCTATACAGAACCGTCATATAGCCTGATGTGCCTTAACCAATTGGGCCACAGAGGAGCATTTTGTTAGCAAGGTCGATTTTAATGCACGTCAGGCTATATGACAGTTTATTAAAGTTTTTATGAAAGATATAGAATCCAAGAACAGATAGTAAATAGTAAATTGTTGCTGAGAGTTATAATGGACAGGAAATAGGGAGAGCCATTGTCACCAACAATTTGGACTCAAAACTGGCACTGAAGAATTATCTATCAAACAAAAAAAATTTCATCAAAATCAGATAACTGTGGAAATACATAAACAACATCCGATCACACACACATTCGAGAATTATAGATATAAATACATTAAACAAGAAAGATTAAATTATTTAAATTAGTGGTATAATTTTTTTCTAAGCCATGCAGAGGAAAATATTATGGATTAACTCAATATTGAGGAAAAAATTATCTTGTAATTTGCATACCTGAAATCAACATTAGCAGGAGTCTAGATATGCAAATTGGTCTACAGTTAAGAGTTTTTGTTGTAGCTTACCTCACCAACCAAAATAGCTATGAATTATATGCATTCTCTGTTCAAAATGGTCGATAGACCACAACCTTGTTTCTATTTCAGCAGCTTATGCAAATTCTTATTTGACCAATCATGAGCATGTGGTTAAACATTAATTCTAAGCAGAAAAAGGGTTAAACCCAAAATGAAATATAAACTAGAAGATAGAGAGACATTTTCTCCGATAAAGTGGAAGTGAAGAAAGGGCCACCTGGATTGCCTCACCCCTACAAATTGGAATGATGCACCAAGAGTTTACTTTTTTTAACCTCTTGAAAATCTGGCATGCAGGTAAAGCAAATTGGAAAATAATTTTTATCTAGCACTTGAGAGGTTAAAATGAGAAGGTCATCTGGTTTGTGTTTTTTCACTGGATAAGTGGGTCCAGAATAAGAGTTAGATAATTCAAATTAATGAGGAGAATAAACCACGCCCTTTCTCCTATGCACTGTAAAAATTAGATTGTTACAAAGACAGTTATGCCAGCTCTGAGAAGTGGGCAGAGTTAGAATACCAAGGAGGAAGGGGCAGAAATCAGTATGGAGTATGGAGTAGCAGTGCAAGATGTGGAGTGAAGCAGATTGGAATTAAGGGAAGAGTAATCCCTGTGACTACTCCCAAGGAAAGTGGGAATTAATGAAAATTGGGGAATTATTGAATCCCCCAGAACCCTTCAACCCCATGCCAGTTTTAGGCTGAATTGCACATAAGCAGATGACTTTGGGCTGAAATCCAACATTGAGTACCTCTGAAATCCATCTCAGCTGCCAACCAGATTCCTGATTCCAAGACTTCAAACCCAGCCCTCCAAACAAGGCCCAGTGTCACTATAGAGATTAATGCAGGAAGGGTGTAATTTTGTAGTACCAAGAGCTCTATAAACCAATTGGAGATTAACCCCACAAATCTCATATTTTATTTTTTGTTGTGAAAATAATTTTTTTTTCCTGCCACAGCTTGAACCAGTGCTGCAAGACTACAACCTTCAATTTCCCACTGCTCAGAGTTGAGCCTTCAAATCTACAAATCAACCATTTGCTCAAACATGGAGTATTGCTGCCATATATGGTCTGGTGCCCCTTATGTTTGTCTCAAGGTTCTTGATAAGATCAAGAGACGGATATGTAACATAATTGGCCCTGATCTGGCATCTCATCTGCAGTCGTTCTCTCACAGACGTGTCATCACCTCCATCTGTCTTTTTTACAAATACTTTCATGGTAACTGCTCCAATGAGCTGCTTTCACTGGTTCCCAAACTTCATGAGTTTAAGTGTTCTACTAGGCTGGCATCTCACTCACACCCTTTTACTGTCAAAACTGTTAAATGTAGCCATCTCTTCTACTCCAATAGCTTCATGTCTCACACCTCTTCCTGTTTCCCTGATAGCTATAATCTTCAACTATTCAAATGTAATGTCAATCGACATCTCCAGATGCCCGATCTATCCCTGTCCTTCTCTTCCTCTACCACTCCTATTTGCTCTTGCTCCAACTCTCTGCAACCCCTTGCATGCTAGTGGTACTCCTGCCTTATTTGGGGTGAAACGCTTTAAAAAAAAAATAAATAAATAAATAAAAATAAAAATAAAGAGCAGAGTTGGTGTGGAGAGAAGCAGCCAGTGGCCATCAACAAGCTTGGACCAGTGCAGAGTTAGCCCTGTGGTTAAAACATCTGAGGACCAGAACACTAAACATGGTTACACTACCAAATGTAGGCAATGACAAAAGGTGTTATAGTAGTTGATTCTTCTGAGACGTGTGAGATTTGACTTTGAAACTTTTGGAACTTGCATATATCTTTCTGCTATCTGACTTATCTTGATATACACTGACAAATTCTAAGCCTCATACATAACTGGACTGAATGCAAAACTTTAAAAATTACAAAAATTGTAACTAAGTATTTCTTTCTGAAGAGAGCTTAAACAGGTGAGTCAAATTAAGAAAGAAAAAGGCATTATACTTAGAAGTTCTGATTCACTGTCAGATGATAGCAGAATACAGTCTTCACTGAGCTGAGCAATTCTTTGACGACTGGAATGTCTTTGTCCCTGAAAAGGCAATGGTTTATAATTTTAATATATGAACAAAAAAAAATACAGAATTCAACAATAAAGACAGAAAAAAAAAATGCTTTAAAATAAAAAAAATCCATCTTTATTACGAAACTTCATTTCTGAACAATGAATTCAAACTGTTTAATTAAAAGAATCCGAGCTTTTTTAAGTTATGATTTTTAGTTGTCATAAGTGTTGGCATATATGCAGTGATTATAGAGAGTGGAACATTAAGTTTTATATACTCTTTCTTTTCATGTCTTGTTGCTTGTCAGAAATAAGTTTAAGATAACTGAATGGCATTGAGATGGTGATTTCTTCTTGGCTCTTGCTGCATTCATAGTTTATGTGAGTAGGGGGGGGGCAACAGAGATACTCCTCACCTTTGTACAGTAGCAAACTCTTTCAAATATTCTTTGCAGAATCACAGGAGGAAGAGGAGTAAAAAACATACTTACATGCTATCAGTTGTGAGATGCTGACTATGTCATTGCCAGTAATTTCACCATTTACAGTTGATTTAGTTTCTATGACGAACTGTAGTTATTTAAGAAGATAAGAAATTTAACCATAATAAATTATCAGCAAAATATACTGAATTTATGTACATAACCAGAAGAGAAAAAATACTGACCATTAACAATCAGCAAAATCTGAAATTGCCACAGAAAGTGGAACTGGCAAGTAGAATTCAAGTTCTAGGCTGGTGTGTTGCCTCTGAGAAAGAAATCTCTGCTCCTCCCAGCTATGAGTTAAATAGCAAGGTAGACTGGTCTCTCTAGTTTTGGGTGGCAACCAGTCTAAGAGAAAGATAATTCTAAACTATGGAGAAATCAGTGGGAAACTACTCCACTATCTTTCCCAAGAATGTTTGGCAATTCACATAGAATAAAGAATTATTTGTGAAGACTCATGATTGTTCCATCCTAAATGAACATGATATTTAAATGATAAAGATAATCTATTTAATTTCTCATTATATCAAACTGATGCCAAAAAGGCATAGATGAAATCAAGTGTGCAGACTCAACAGATGATAGAAGGTAAGTATGACTCAATTACTTATGAAGTGTGATATCATAGTCAGTCATGTCAGGAAGTAACCAAGGAACATTATGAATTGCATTGCAGCAGATATCTTTATAATAAGAGCAACTGTTTGGATCATAAAAACTTGTGTGACTTTGGGAAATAAATATGGGAAGTTTGAAAAGTCAGTTAGTCAAACATCAATTGCTGCACAGGAGATCAAAGATGGTTAAATTTACAGAAAACATCAGTGAAACTATAGCAAATATTATTGACATGAAGGTATAGAAAATATTGAAAGGTTCTGTTGATCAGCAAATACTTAAAAGAATTAAAAGAACTGAGAGAAGCTAAAGTTTCAATCATAAATACATTGTGCATAGATATAGACGAAAGAAAGAAAGAAAAATGAAATCGTTGAAAGATGAACACAAAAAGGAGGCAGGCAAAGGATGAAAAGCAACTTAATTATAATGAAGTGGTATATAAAAGGAATTTCCGAGGCCAAAAAAAGATTTTAGAGGGATGAGGAATGTTGACCCTTCTTAGGGTGGAGTTGGCACAAGGGCTGTAGCAGACCTGAGATCACCATGTCCCAGTAAGTAGAGAATAATATAATAATATCTCAACTGACATCACTGTTTTTAGCCAGGGAATTTTTTGGTTCTTAGCATTCTAAATGCAAATGTAGACACATTACCAAACAAATTGAATCAATTAATTTAATAAAGTGCTGAGTGAGGAATGTGATATTACTGCACTGCAGGAAATATGATCAAAAATGGCTGGTGAAGTTAATGATGTCATGAGAGATTATAGAGGACCCAAGATATGGAATTTTTGTACCAGATAGTGACAGGAAGAAAGGAGTGGTCTTCGATGTGATTGATAAGATAGATGCTATGAAAACAGATTTTAAAAACAGAATTTCATGAGTTTAGTGCCTGCAAAAACATCTGTTGTACAACTTGTACCACAATCCAAATTTTAAGGCTGTATACTGATGAGTAAGCTAATAATGGGATGTAGTCATTTAGTAACGTGCGCTAATCTCAATCTATAGCAAATTATAGTAAAAATACCATAGAATGTGAATCTAATCATGCGATTATCAAGAAACTTGAGTGCATTGTCTTATTTCTAATTCAAGTAGGTGCATCTACTCACTGAAGTGGTGTTATAAAATGGAAAAAGAGATAACTGTTAATATCATACAAATGGCACTTTTTGCCAGAATCACCATGTATTGCTCATCTTTGATATTTATGTGAACAGGAGCTAAATATCAAACAGTACTGAAGTGTCACACGATAATTAGAGAAACAACTATAAAGCAATGTGTGAGGAAATGTCAGTGTGATAGATTAGGAAGCTGACAGAGTGTCATGTTGGCCATATTTTGTGCACATGGTAGATAATTACATACCTGACTTTCATTATTATCCACATAAGAGATAACAATGGATGGAGATAAAGACAGAGAAATCTGTGAAAGAGAAACACATAACAGATACCAAAAGAATAGAATAGAAACAGGAGAAAAGTATGTATGAGCTCTGAAAATGTCTGAAAATTATGTACAAAATACAAGGAAAACCTTCCAGAATGACTTGGCAATAAGTATAAAAAAAATTAAACCCAAGAGCTACTGGTCATATGTGAAGAAGCAAAACCACATCACAGACAAGTGTAGCAACCCTACAGATGCCTGAAAGCAAAAGTGGAAACCTTGAACAAGTTTTTTGCTAATTTCTTCACTCAAGAGGACAAGTCTTATCCCTGAGCTAGTAGAAATGGCCTTTTCACACACCTTACAGATACTGTAAACAAAGTTAAAGAGGTGTCATCACTGAAGCCAAATAAAGCCATTCCTGGGTCCTGTAAGAGACAGCAGATGTTTCTGTACTACTACTGCACAACATATTCAAGCAGTCTATGAATGAAGGAGTATTTTCTACTGCATTAAAGAGAGCTGATATGGTTCCACTGTTTAAAAAGGTCAATAGCAAGATTGTGGAAGCTATCAACCAGTGAGTTTAACTTGTTTTTAATAGAGAAGATTGTCAAAGCTGTACTAGTGACCTAGATGGAGGACAACAAATTTTATAGTAAATGCCAGCATAAGTTCAAAAATGGGTAGGTTATGTGCTTTGAGATATTAAAGTACTGGCATATTATGCTAGATGAAAGTATACCTCTTTTTCTATATCTACCTTGACTTGAGTAAAGCCTTTAAGTGTTCCAGATGTCTCAAAATGTTGCATGAATGTTGTATTCGGAGGAAAGTTTATATGTGGATACAAAGTTAAGTGGCAGAATTCAGAGAGTATGTGTGGATAATATCAAATCAGGATAGAATTCCTTCACTAGTCATATTCCTTTGCCTAATCTTGGATTTAATCTTTGTTAATGATGTGCCAAAATCAAGGAGTTCAGCAATTAAGCTATTTGCTGACAACACCAAGATTACAGAAAAGTAGATAACTGGGAAGATGTTGAAAAGTTTCAGAAATATTTTGAAACCACTAGACAAGTGGTCTAAAACTTAGCACAGGAAACAAAATATATAACATTTTTTTATAAAGATTACATTAAGGTTACTATTGGTGAAATTGAACAAGAAAGAAAACTTTAGAATCGTATTATCCCTGAAATTTGCCTGCTATGTAAGAAAGACAAAGTCCAAAGCCAACTCAGTAGTTGATATCAAAAAAATGTTTCAGATCATTAATTAGCAAAAGTGTCCTCTTTTTGAACAAAGCCATGGTTTGTCCCCATCTGAAATATGGCTCAACTGTGTGGTTATCAATGTCTATAATCTTGTCTATTATGAACACATATAGCATTTGCAATTGCTATATCATTTATTTAGTAGAACAGATATTCATCAAGATTTTACATTAATAAATGGCACCGACAATTTGGATGTGAATGATTTCTTACAGTTAGGTACAAATCCAACCACCCGCAAGAAGATTAGTGATAAATAACTTGTCATAAGTTATACAAAGAAAAGATTTTCCATTAAAAAAAATAAATAAATACATTGTGTTTTTTTAATATTATTTTTATGTAGAACTGGCAGTCTCCATGGTACCAGCAATAAAAAACATGCTGGGAATTCTTGTCTACAACAGTTTTATAAATCTCAAACTGTATCATCAGAGAATATTTCTTTTGATATACACCAGTGTTTGTCAACATAAGCAGTAAAACCCCCACCACCTATTGTCAACTCTCACAGAGGTAATAAACGTCCAGGAGCTTTAACAGCAGAAAGATGAGTTAACCCTTTGAATCCTAATTGGAATAGCTACTATAATACCTTTTTTTTTTACCTATATTTACATTTTTGACGCAATGCATTTGGATGGAAATGTAATAAAGGCTTTATTACATTTCCATCCAAATGCATTGCTTTAACTAAAGCAAAAAGACTTGCAAACCAAAGTCCAACAGCTTCTATAGTCGAACCTGGTGACTGCCGTTTTAGCCAAATGAAACAGCTTTACTTCCAAGTTCCAATTATTTAATGCAACAAAACGTAAACACATGGCATTAATTCTGCTCCATTTACCATTGCAATTTTAGTAGGGGTGTCAGTTCGCGTAAAAATATCTGAAAAGTGGATAAAGAAAGAAAGAATAAAGATAAAGAAGAAAAGGCTAAGAATCATTGATAAACAAAGTCGCATTTTTGAGATTGCAACCGAAAAAGTAACGGTGTGTAACTATTCTGTAGATCGTTTTTATTTTTTTTAAACACATGTCCTAAAACAAAACAAAAAAACAAACTAAGTGTTAAAACAAAAAGGTACACTATTGGCAAGAGATTTTATGTAGGTGCCTCCACTAGGTCGCGTAAAAAAACATAGCATGATGAAAAAAGGGCCCCAAACTCAATAAAAACAAAGTTTTGTCATCAAAATGTTTAAGAAGACCAAAGTATATTTTTTTTAATTTTTTACTCATTTCTAGCAAGTTCGAAATTTTGGTTAAAATTTTTTTTTTTTCAACAACAGCGGCGAACTAGAGAAAGAAGATTTGTTTTATTTTTTCATGTGACACAAGAAAAAAAGAAAATCAAAATAAAATACGTATGTAATGAGCAGTAAAATATAGTTGGCCACTAATTACATTCTTTATCATACCACACATAATATCACAAATAGTTTAACTTTATTAGTCTTTTTTAAAAAGAACTGAATAAAAAAAATTTTAATCTCTTTTTTTTCCTTAAAATGTCAAGGTCAATTTAAAAACAATATATGTTGATTTCAAAATTAAATTAGGATTGATTAATCAAACAAAAAAGTACATACGCAAATAATTTACTTAAGTTCGGAATCTGACAGTGATACATGTCTAAGAATTAACATTTGTACATTGAAATTGTAAAATTTATAAAAATATTAGGATTATTTTTTTAACAACGAAAAAGTTTTTAAAATTAAGAAATAATAAATTGTGATCATTACAATGCGCAAGATAACTTCACTACCCGACAAAAAGAAAGAAAAAGAGATTTTCATTTTAATAATGATTTTTAAATGTTTTATTTACTGTTCGGTAATAAAATAATAATTTAAAAAATATTTTGAAAGTTTTTGTCATTCATAACAAAAAAATTCTTAGGTTTTTTTTTTTTTTTAGAATAGTTTTGTTTTTGTAAAATAACTGTTTTTATTTTGTTTTGACTTTTTAAAAACTTAGGAATTTTTTTTTTTTTCACTAATTTTTTAAACAGACAAACATCATTAAAATGCGCTTGGATACAATAAACATAGCTTAATAAAATCCTTTTTAATTACAGATGGGTAATTTAAATAAACTTTGCTTCAAAAAAAAAAAAAAAAGGAGCAAATCAAAAACTAAAACATTTAAAGTTATCGTCGCGAAGATTAATTGAGCTTCTTTTCACCCCCAACTGAATAAAAATTTACATAAGTGGTTAGAAAACAAAATGACAAATTTATTAAAAAAATATATAATGACAGTTTTTCTTTCTTTCATGAAAGCTAAAGATCATGATTGTAACTCACGTTCATCTCGCACAACATCCACATGAAATAACCGCCGTCTGTTAAGCCAACACCGGTTGACACTTGATTTAAATGGTCCTCTATTTTATCAACAGGAAGTAATCTAAATGAAACACTTTCAAAGCAGAGAATAAACGTTTTGATTCAAAATGTAACTTTTTTTTTTTTAAAATAAATGAAGAAAAAATAATAACAAGTATACATTTTTTATTATTCTTATTGATACATTTATGAAATGATTAACAATTTTTTTTACAGTTTCTGATAATTTGAGAAAATACCTATTATTAATTTTTTTTTAAATTTAAATTACAGAAGTTTATTGAAAGCGTTTTTTCCCCCTCCGAGTAGATTTCAAAAAATTTGCATAACTTCATCTACCATCCACTTCAAAATATTCTTTGGTCTTTATTTTTCGTGAATATGTGCCGGTTTTAAAAAATAAAAAAAAGAAAGAGAATAGAAACGATAACAGAACCGTAAACATTTTTTTTCACGAGGTACAAAAATTAATTTGTAATCTTCACTGTTGTCAGACTTAATGATCTTTTACAGAATTTATTTTTTTAAATAATTTTTTATTTGATTTCTCCACTCACATTTTTAAATGTTTTACTTAATTTTCTACCCTCTTTCATCCATTCCATCAGGATTTATTTTGGGTGTTAGATGACTCAAGGTAGATAACTCTGGTTTCTTACTATACTAAGAACTTTTTAAATCCATTGTGTTTATCCTTATACAAAACTAACATTTACTTAGATTTTGTGTACAAGCATAAAATAAACAGAATTCAGCCAAATAGAAATGTTTTTCGTTAATTCTATAGATATATAAAGAGATCTTTAGTTATATATTGTCAGGAGACAATATTGTGAACTAATACTTACCTGTCTAAATAGCAGGGCAGACTAAGCTCTCCTGTCTTAGTAAGGAAACAAGTCTAGGAGAAGAAAAAAAGTTTGGAGAAGTCAACGAGAAACCACTATCATTCACAAGAAATTATACCAATTCATGGAGACCAACAAAGAGGTATAGCATTTCTTTAAATTCTAAAGAGAACTGCAAAAGTGGGACACCCAATAAAGACTAATGATGTATACTGGGAAGATCAAAGCCATAACATATCTTTTACACCAAATGTCGACTATAGATTGTCCAGATTCCTTATAGAATTTATGCAATCCACTTATAGAAATATACATTATACAGAGTGAGGAAAAAGTTACATCATGGAGATAATTTATTAAAAGTATAATTACACATGAAAATTTTATTTACCAGTTAATTGTTATATGTGCTGTTCAAAATGTCCTCCTTCTTTTTCAAAACACATTTCAGCTTTGTGCCTGCATGACTCATTAAAACATCATAGTGCTTTCTTTGTCATTTTACAACATTCATATTTAATTCTTTCTTTAAGTTCCTCAATATTTCTTGGGCGTGTCTGATAAACAGTTGATTTCAAATGGCCCCACAGAAAAAAATCCAAGGGCGTGAGGTCTGGTGACCTGAATGGCCACTCAACAGGACCTCTTCAACCTATCCATTAACCCCTATGGTGTACAACTTTTAACTCACCCTGTATATTGCAAGTTTACTCAGATTAATGTCCTTATTTTGGTTGTTATGACCATAATGTTTCATCTATTGTACACTTTGGCCTTCTTCAGGTATCTGCTATAGTAATCTTCTGGAAATTTTGAAATGAACTCTTATCTTTGGGGATATATAGTTCATGCTAGAGGAAATATTTTGTATCAGCTGTCTTTGTAGTAATATGTTGATCTTCTTCAGGGTCCACTATAAGCATTAGTATATCTTAGATATATGTCGGAGTTAGTTCCTCCTTTAGTTCCTTAATCCTTCAACAGGGGTCTCTCTCCACTGGCTATCAATACTAGCTGACCTTTTGCCTTGACCTCTTTTTTCCTCAGGATTCAGCCTTACCATCTCACAGATGTGAGCTCTCACAGATACAGCGTTTCACAAATTATGGGAACACACTAAGAACAATACACGTACATACGAACACTCAACACAACACAAACACACACACATAATATTCACCACACGCACTCTGTCCATGTAACTGTCCATGTAACTTGTAACCTTTCTTGTTATTAATACATATATTTGTTTATATATATTTATCAGTCTTGTTTGTTTTCTTTGGACTTAATTAAAGTCCAACTTTCTCATGTAGTTGGACCGGCTAGCAGGAAATTCTACCCACATGTATTCTTCTACATACACATCACCACCATGGTCCGCTACATAATGGTGACCTCGATGTGATCTTTCAACTCCTGCTAAAACACACAGAACGATATATATGTACAAACTCACATTTACACACACTTTACTAAAAGAGAGCCAGATAGGAAAAACATTTAAAAAACGTCTTTACGTATCCTACGCACGTCATACACTATTAACGAAAGAACTTTTATACAGCAACAAAAATTTGTGATTAAACTGATGAAAGTACAATATCACAATTTTAATTCACTACAACAGGTCTACAAAACAATTTTCTCCTGCGCAGCAAAAAATTTTTCAACATGTGGAAATCATGGAAGCCTTAATCGCCACAAGAAGAACCACAATTACTACTATGAGACGAGCCTTAGAACTCTTTCCCCACTGGTCTATATTTGCTTACCCTTTCTTTCTCTCGGCGATGTTTGACCTAATTTCACCCAGCTTACCAAACGGAAAATGCAACGCCATTTTCAACTAATTCAACTCCTTTCTTCTGGACTGAAATAGATAAAGTGTGAACCACATCTCAAACTAAAGGCGACTCACTGTCCTTTATCTTCAACCACAAAAAGCGACTCACTGTCCTTTATCTTTGCAACAATGCAACTAAGAATTTGCAAGTGCGATTTTCACTCGACAATAATAGCAAATTTTCTTAAACATGCATTCGACACTCAGTAGAATGTCTATATCAGCTCAAATTCGCCACAACGCTGCTTCTATTAAATCTTGTGCGCCAATTTTATCCACGCATATCAAACAAACAACCTTGTTTTTCAAAGAAAACTACGACCAGGCCAGTAAACAGGTTGATGGGGCGACAAAGCCAATTCAACGTGAAACATTGGAAAAAAAGACAATTTTTGATAGCAAACGCAGATCACTACCAACATTTTTTTCCCAGGACATGCCCCGACTCTGACGGATTAGAGAAATACAAAGCACTGAGCACCCTGACGACAACACAAGCACATTTCGTCGAATCACGTATATCAACCACACTTCTGACACATTTTCTTTTCAGCTCACAAGGACAATATTCAAAACTTTGATGAACCTTTTTCTTACATATTAAAAGTTCTCGTTTCATACAACTTTCATATACTAACATCTTAACATGACAGAAAGTAGGACTAGAATAACTCAAAGAAATGAATTCCCAAAATGAATTATACATGAAAAAATTTTATATAACACACTGAGGTATATAAATATAAACTGCAATACATAAATAAATATATATACATATATATCAGTGGCAACTCCAGTGGTTGGTTTTGTTGGGCTTAGCCCAAGTGAGTCAACATTCAAGTATATCTATTTCAAAGCAACAAAAATCTTTTGCAGTGCATTGTTTTCATTCTTGACTTCAGCTGAATCTAAAATTGTTTTAACTCCATGCTTCAAAATATTGACTGAAATACATTTCATTGATATTGCTCATAATAAAGAAAAAAACAAACAAACAAAGAAAGTAAGTAAAAAAAGAATTAAATAAAATTAACATGGCTAGTCGGGCTGCATAGATCTGAGCTCTATCATACTTAATAGGCAATGTATTTCTTGTTTTCATTTTATAAATAATCTTTTAAAAATCTCTAATGACTTGTATGCCCTGTTTTTTAAAGGACACATTTTTATTTCAACTTATTGTTTTCAAATGTCCATTTTAAATAATTTATTCCATACAGTATAAGGTTTTTTAATTAAATTTAACCTGACTTAAAGTCATTGAAAATCAAAGAAAGTGGCAGCCTTAACTCATCAACTGGAGGTTTGGGGTGAGGAGTATGGCTGGGGTAGTGTTAAAGAAATATGATATCAGTCAACTATCTCTACCATTAGTGACTTGATAACCAGGCTATAAAACAATAAAAAATGAAAAGGGGCAATAAACAGACAAATATGTCAAAGACTCTGTCCTCACTTTTTTCTTACAAGTCTGGAAATTTTTTTAAAAATAAATGCTTATATTTATAGAATTATTACAATTAATATTCAAATACCAAAATGTGTTTTTTTTTAATTTCATGCATTGAGATTTTTAAAAATGATATATTTTAGTTAGAGTATGTATTGTGAAAAATAATTTAGTAGTGGAAACTTAGAGCCTTAAACCTAATATCACTTGCTTGCTTCTTCAAATTAACTAGAATATATGACTTTTAAACTGCAGGTAGTGTAATAAAGCTGTTAAATTTTTTAGTCTTCAGCTTTATGTTCTCTCTTTCATAATTAAATGGTACTCATTCTGTGTAAATCATTGTATAATAATGCCATTTCCTCATCTCAAAAATTCACACAAAAATTAATATATGTTCTTAATAAAGTTATATTGCAGTAGATAAATTTGGTAATGTCTAACATATGTATCACTCCAGTAAATAGCTAACCCTTGCTGTTGTGCTCCATCTTTACAAGAGTCAGATCAGACTAAGAAGTATTGCTGCTGGAGCTGCCCAATCTTCACTGTCAGCCTTGACAGAGCTCAAAACTCATTACACAGCCTTGTTGGTGATGAATTATTTTCTATTCTGCAAGCCTTATCCCAAAGTCTCTCACTACTCTATCATTATTACTATGGCAAATGTTCAAACAAATTATATTGCTTAGTCCCACCAATTAAGACCTTCACAGCTAAGACCCACTATGCAATGTTCACAGTGGCAAATGATCCCCATTGCCTTTGCTCCTTTGGTAATATAGGATACAAATCCTATATTCCAACAAATGACTAAAAA